AATACCTGTGTGCACGATACAGTTGTATGTTGTAAACTGCATATTGTAATGTTTACATTAATCGACCGGAAGTGCTGGGTTGTGATCGATCTCGTTTCAATACACAGTCATGTAAAGTTAACACACATACAAAGTAACAATGAGTTAGATCTATAGCTTAAAGCAGACTGTTCCTGCCGGGTCCTTATTCTGTACATTTAGGAGCTCTTTACCAAGGCTCCCATCATCGCACGTATATTTTAGGTCGTATCTGTTAACCGTTTGGTACACCTGGAAACCGTTGTGTTTCTCATATTGTTTTCCTTAATGCGGAAATTAAAAAACCTATAACGCCATCAACTTTTCTGTTAAATCTCTAATATACGCTGCAAACAATAAAAAGTATTGTAAGGGAAACTTGTATTTCAAGTTAACATTTAAAGTAATATTTTCCTCAAACATATATCATAACATGTATTTAATACTTAATAGTCTTAATTGTTCACTATTTCACATTCTTTGGCCCTTACTCCGAAAAGAATGACTCGGATTGTCGATTATGGAATGGTCGATGGAATGACGTCATTGAGATATATTATATCCTCGGTGTTTGCACCTTATTTACCCGTATTTGTTGTCATGGTCAGAATAGAAATACATCAATGTACACTTGACCGGTGATGTTATGTGTGTTGTGTGTGTCAGCTTTATGTAGTTGGTCGATATTGAACAACTAATGGTCAATATCTGGTATTTGGTCGTGTCCGGTGCTTTCTCTTAGATCTATATTTTAAAGAACTATCCACACGGTTAGTTGTACTGGTCATTTTGGTGCTAGTTTGCCGGCTCTTGACCGCTGCTGGTGATTGGTGGATTGCTGTCTACAACGTATTACTGGTGGTGTGGTCCGTCCGAACAGCTGATCTCAATCGGATTATAACATATCTGATTTCGAATTGATAAGTTCTAAACTTTATGGATATTTGCCACTAGTGGTTTTATGAAATAAAACATTCGGTCTCAAAAACATTTCTTAATTTTTTTAATACTTTTCATTGACCGGTAATGGTAAAGGTTGAGGGTAGTAAATGGCTAACGATAGATGCTGTATTATACAAGATATTTGCGTTAGGGTTAAGGATGTTTATTATAACTTCTGTTAAAATCTCGTTATCTGATTGGTTGAGAAAGATGTGAACATTTTCAATGTTACTTTCTCGTTTTACAAAGATAAAGAAGACAGGGTGACATTCCAAAAAATATCACATGCGCCAAACGTATGCGTGCACGGTTCGTCCCAGTGCTAGGGTGTTACCTTACACGGGGTACGTGTGATCTGTATTGGAGTAAAGGATGTATGCCAACTTACACGGTATGCGTGTGATCTGTATTAGGGTTAAGGATGTATGTTACCTTACACGATATACGTGTGATCTGTATTGGGGTTAAGGATGAATGTTACGTTACACGGTATACGTGTGATCTGTATTGAGATTAAGGATGTATGTTACCTTAAACGGGGCAAGCGCGATCTGTATTGGGGTTAAGGATGTATGTTTCCTTACACGGTATACGTGTGATCTGAATTAGGGTTAAGGATGTATGTTACCTTACACTGTATACGTGTTACCTGTATTGGGGTTAAGGATGTATGTTTCCTTACACGGTATACGTGTGATCTGAATTAGGGTTAAGGATGTATGTTACCTTACACGATATACGTGTGATCTGTATTGGGGTTAAGGATGTATTTTACCTTACAAGGTATACGTGTGACCTGTATTGGGGTTAAGGATGTATGTGACCTTACACGGGGTAAGTGTGATCTGTATGGGGGTTAAGGATGTATGTTACCTTATACAGAGTACGTGTGATCTGTATTGGGGTTAAGGATATATGTTACCTTACACGGTATACGTGTGTTCTGTATTGGGGTTAAGGATGTATGTTTCCTTACACGGTATACGTGTGATCTGTATATTAAGGATGTATGTTACCTTAAACGGGGCAAGCGCGATCTGTATTGGGGTTAAGGATGTATGTGACCTTACACGGGGTAAGTGTGATCTGTGTTGGGGTTAAGGATGTATGTTACCTTACACTGTATACGTGTTACCTGTATTGGGGTTAAGGATGTATGTTACCTTATACAGAGTACGTGTGATCTGTATTGGGGTTAAGGATGTATTTTACCTTACAAGGTATACGTGTGACCTGTATTGGGGTTAAGGATGTATGTTACCTTACACGGTATACGTGTGATCTGTATTGGGATTAAGGATGTATGTTACCTTAAACGGGGCAAGTGTGATCTGTATTGGGGTTAAGGATGTATGTTACCTTACACGGGGTAAGTGTGATCTGTATGGGGGTTAAGGATGTATGTTACCTTACACGGTATTCGTGTGATCTGTATTGGGGTTAAGGATGTATTTTACCTTACACGGTATACGTGTGACCTGTATTTGGTTTAAGGATGTATGTTACCTTACACGGTATACGTGTGATCTGTATTGGGGTTAAGGATGTATGTTACCTTATACAGGGTACGTGTGATCTGTATTGGGGTTTAGGATGTATGTTACCTTACACGGTATACGTGTGATCTGTATTGGGGTTTAGGATGTATGTTACCTTACACGGTATACGAGTGATCTGTATTGGGGTTAAGGATGTATGTTCCCTTACACGGTATACGTGTGACCTGTATTGGGGTTAAAGATGTATGGATGTATGTTACCTTATACAGAGTACGTGTGATCTGTATTGGGGTTAAGGATGTACGTTACCTTACACGGTATACGTGTGACCTGCATTGGGGTTAAGGATGTATGTTACCAAACACTGGGTACGTGTGATCTGTATTGGGGTTAAGGATTTATGTTACCTTATACAGAGTACGTGTGATCTGTATTGGGGTTAAGGATTTATGTTACCTTATACAGAGTACGTGTGATCTGTATTGGGGTTAAGGATTTATGTTACCTTATACAGAGTACGTGTGATCTGTATTGGGGTTAAGGATGTACGTTACCTTACACGGTATACGTGTGACCTGTATTGGGGTTAAAGATGTATGGATGTATGTTACCTTATACAGAGTACGTGTGATCTGTATTGGGGTTAAGGATGTATGTTTCCTTACAAGGTATACGTGTGATCTGTGTTGTTAAGGATGTATGTTACCTTACACGGTATTCGTGTGATCTGTATTGGGGTTAAGGATGTACGTTACCTTACACGGTATACGTGTGACCTGCATTGGGGTTAAGGATGTATGTTACCTTACACGGTATATGTGTGACCTGTATTGGGGTTAAGGATGTATGTTACCTTACAAGGTATACGTGTGATCTGTGTTGGGGTTAAGGATGTACAGTTGTGTGACCGCACAACGCACCAAAAATAGCGTGCGCACACCGTGCATACATCGTTCACACACCGTCCGCACATCGTCCACACATGGTGCGCACAACTGTGCGATTTAACAATCGTTCCCCCCGTTGTGTGCTTCTCTCCGCACACCGGGGCGATTGGGTACAACTTGTAGATCAATATTACGGAATGAAAAAAATACGGAAAGCTCGTATGCAATAATGGAAACTGTATGTATTATTGTAATATCTCATCAAAGTAATGAAGATTATGTAGTTGTACAATGCGTGTAACACAGTATTACAGTGACCGTTAGCCTGTCAAGAATGGGTTTCGCGCCCAGGTAACAGAATATGTAATTAACAATTTGATGAGTTACCGGGGTTTGACCGGGCCTGTCCCTGACACATAGAGCTGATATGCGATACCGTATAACCGTAATGAAAACACAGCTGGACGTTTAGTATTTGTTATTTGCATTCGGTTTGCCTATAGCTCCCCTTCACCTGTGTTTTCACACCCCTGGCCCTACCCGACGAAGTACGTAAGCGCCCCGGGCGGGGGAAAACTACCGTCCAGGTACATGTAGACGGCTAGTGGCTATGTTTACCTGTATACGGGACTGTGTTGTGATTTCACAGGTGTCGATTAAGGTCTTTTAAAAAATACCAAAAACACAATTTCTAAATTTAAGAAAGTATAGATATAAAGATAAGTTTATAGGTGTAGGTAGAATATAGAAACATACGTAAAAATCAGGTTTATATGTTTAAACACGAAACCGTATATATTGTTAAGGCATTCCTCAATTTGCACCAACCACGATTGTTATCGCACAACGTTCGTCCGTCGTGCACACAAATGTGCGCAAGATTTGATCGCCCAGATTTTTATCGTTCGCACATCGTGCACACATCGTTCACACACCGTGCACACATCGTGCGCACACCGCACATCGTGTAACGTTGTGCGATCCCACAACTGTATGTTACCTTACACGGTTTACGTGTGACCTGTATTGGGGTTAAAGATGTATGTTACCTTACACGGTATACGTGTGATCTGTATTGGGGTTAAGGATGTATGTTACCTTACACATGGTACGTGTGATCTGTATTGGGGGTTAAGGATGTATGTTACCTTACACGGTATACGTGTGACCTGTATTTGGTTTAAGGATGTATGTTACCTTACACGGTATACGTGTGATCTGTATTAGGGTTAAGGATGTACGCTACCTTACACGGTATTCGAGTGATCTGTATTGGGATTAAGGATGTATGTTTCCTTTCACGGTATACGTGTTACCTGTATTTGGTTTAAGGATGTAAGTTACCTTACACGGTATACGTGTGATCTGTATTGGGGTTAAGGATGTATGTTACTTTACACGGTATACGTGTGATCTATATTAGGGTTAAGGATGTACGCCACCTTACACGGTATACGTGTGATCTGTATTGGGATTAAGGATGTATGTTACCTTACACGGTATACGTGTGATCTGTATTGGGGTTAAGGATGTATGTTACCTTACACAGGGTACGTGTGATCTGTTTTGGGGTTAAGGATGTATGCCGCCTGACACATATATCATGGTCACAATTTAATTGTCCCCTTATTTGTTTAAAATGTTTTAAACCTTCAACAAACCATTTTTACGTGTTCTATTGACCTTGCAAATAAATCTTTAATTAATCACCAAAGTTCACATTCCCATTCAAAACATAATGTTTATTAGTATGAAGCCTTTTTGAAAGGAAATACACGTGACGTAGCATATATTTCGTACACGAAAATTGATCAACTTAAACCCGTACATTTTCTATTTCATATAAACATACAAATTGCCAAATGAAACAACGCCTCCATTTGTGAAGCTCTTAATAAGTTAAGTATTGTTCGAGTTGGATTTTATTGTCATATTTGAGCTCGCGCTTCTACTCTTTATATCGTTTACATAGCCGAATAATTTGTTCGGCAACAATTCATACCTTTAGAACAAATCAGTTCATTGATGTATAAATGTAATCGAATAATAATCTTTGTCTGATTTGTCTGACAATTTCTTATTTATCACCAATCCTCCAACAAATAAGATTGTGAAAAACTGTATGTCTTGTGTTTTCCACAAAACGCCATTTACCATTACAACGGGTATCCATTTTTCTACACATTTAACTAAAATTAAAGTTCTAAATATACTGAAGAACTTTGTTCATCGATCACTTTGGTTTCCCTCTCCGGATTAATGAGAAGGGAAAAGCCACTGAAATGTTATTGAGTTCCTCGGAAGCGCGGTTTCCGGACTATTGGGGTACATTGTTTTAAGACTTTTCGTATAGTAATGCACTAAGATTTCCTTTAAGGAAAACGGGTTTTTTATGTAATGAGAAGGTGAGATCAATCGGGAAATACACAGCCTCATTCTGGCAAAGCCTCGTTCTCGTTGGTCTAAAGCTGAACCTGTGTGTCTTGAGGAAAGAAGGCGGCTTGCAGACTTTCGTAGTTTTGACACCGTTTTGAGATCCACTGATTGACTTCAAAGAAGCTTTTACTGATTTTCGGACAAACGGTGTTGGCACAAACCCCCATCAATGGAATCTGAAATGATACAAATTTCACGTGGGCTACACTAGTGAGAATATTATTAGTACAAGTATTTTACATGATCTTCAGATAACAATGCAAATCATGTGACATTCAATATTAATATTGTAATGTAGATGTCTTAAAACCAACTGCAATCATAGTTGTCGTTCCTTCCATTTGCATGCCCTTGCGTCAACTTTTTTTTTATCGCCACAAGTCTCAATACGATTGCACAATCTGATGATGAAAAGGGTACGAAACCGATGGAGAATTTTTAAAGCATTGCCCTATTTTGCTTCGCTATGTTTTCCAAGACCAAGACTGTTTATCGACTACTTTTCATAATGTACATGTATACTATTGTGTATGTCATTGTATTGTTTTGTAAATACAGTATAGTTTATGTCTTTTCTCTGATGTGTTGTAAAACACAAGGACAATAAGAATCTGAATCTGCATTTGATTGATATATAAACTCGCAAAATATGGTATTGCTGGACCATTCCCTAATAAGCGGTATTCCACAGGGATCAGTGTTAGAACTACCTCTTTTAATTAAACATTAATGATATGCCAACTGTTAACGGATACTTACCTTTTCGCTGATGATTCAAAAGCTTTTAGATCAACAAATTTAAAACAAGATTGCGACGTTCTACGGTAGACGTCTTTTCATTTTTAACAAAATGGCCAGACACCTGGTAGCTACACTTCAATCCGTAAAATGATGCACGTGGGAAATACAAACATTGATAGATTCAACTACACCCTGGAGGAACGTTTACCGAACATCCATACTTTTAATTGAGTATGCAAATCAAGTTTGGTGCCCAAATTTAGAAAGGCATGTACTAGCAATAGAAAATGTTCAAGGTCGAGCAACGAAACAAGTAGATTCTACAAGGGTTTCAAATTTATAAAACGAGGAACCTTTACAGAAATTAAGATTACCAACATTAGCATATAGAAGATCACGTGGTGATATGAGCGAGGTTTTATAAAATCATTTCCGGCAAATATGACATAGAAGACAAGTCGAACAATTCACTGCATTTTAAAGATGAATAATTAAGGTTTTGTAATATTATATACTAAATGGAAACTAGACGAAGGTCTTTTCAAAGGCGTTACAACTTACTTGTTTGTCGAAACAAATGTTGCAGATGAATAGACAGCGATCCTGCAGAGGAAGAAATTGAATGATGTAAGGATTGGCAAGCACAGGATTGCCTTGGGCGAGACCCGCCCCGCAAACCAGGAAAAGAACAAGCATCACGTGAGGCACCATCGTCGTCATTTCTGTAACAGAGCGAGTATGTCATAAATGGGTATTGGGACCCTGAGAAAGTTGATTTAAAAAAATACAATCCGTAATTGAAGGACCACCATACAACAGGATGATGTACACTGGCAGTTCAATACATCCAAATAACATAGAAACAATACCAAAATACAAATTTTAAATGTCATATTTAATTTTTGTTACGTTCATAAGATTAAATACGACATTTTCTGCTGCGTTATTCAAACGCGCAGTACATTTTAGGCTGGTCAATTTCATGGGCAAATGAAACAGGTTACATTTGGTAATTACATTGAGTCCAACATGAGTAGGAATTGAAATATTTTAAAATATTCGTGTTAATGTTGAATAGGTGGCTGTTTTATAATGTAAGTACTCTTTGACCGCAGTATAGGAAAGATATAAAAGGGCATATCTATTACTGATAACAAATTCATATTATAATCGAGCGCCGAGAGCTATTTGCAAAACTACATTCATGTTTTAACGGTCGTGTCTAATTGCAAAGCCAAACCAGAAGTCACTTCGTGACGTCACAAAAGAGACCTAGCAGAGACTAGCGCTTCTGCATTGTTCTCGCGAGACTCGAGGCAACAAACGATATTTTGGTAACATAGACATAACTCCCACGAGATTGAGGTTGAATTATCTCTATTTTTATTAATTCTTTAAAAGTGGACGATATTGGCATTAGTTGAATCTCGGGGGACAAGACGCTGACAGGAGTCATGTGGTTTTGTTCCAGCGAATGTCCTCTGAACTCCGCCATTGTTAATTATTACATTTAGCTCTACACAAAGCTGCTGCTATAGAGCGCATGCTATAGTGTCGCTCCCTTGTCGACACCAAAAGTCCGAACCAAAGTGAAATCTACATTTATAGGTCAGTTTTAGACAATGTAAACGCATTCCGAACGGCCATTATAGCGATGTTCTGTTTCTCTGATTTACCATCAATATAACGACCTATGTTTGATCACCTTATAGAACAAGCCGTAACACATGCCCGCTCGACAATTATACATGATAATGGCGTGCTCTCCAGTAATGATGGCATTTGTTATTTGAATCATCAAACCGGTACGCCCACCGAGATACATTGGTTAATCGCTTTCAGCGTTACGTTGTTCAACAAATACGACAATTTCGGCAGTTCAGACTTAATTACTGGCGGTACATGGTTATGTATACAAATGAAATAGAAACAGCGTCTCTATATATGATTCCGCATCAACTTGTCCCCAAACGCTCGCAATTAGTATGTGATACCCAACCTGGAGGCAGACTGTGATGTTTCCGCGCACAAATACGTCAGCATCACCAAACTTATTGTAAAATAACCAGTCTCCATTGACGTGTAATACTTAATATAGACACAATAGAACAGACAAGTCCATCAATATGACTAGAACTTCCGGCCGATCACGCAGACAGCACGTGGGCGACCCCTACTGAACTGTCCTCTAATTTACATTTTATTTCTATCTTATTAGCAGAATAAGGTTAAGGGTGCATGTATCTCTGCATCAATTATAATTGTTAAGAAGAGTCCCACTCATAGATTCTCTGACCTGGAGTATAGTATTCTCCCTTTATATGAATGATTAAACAAACTAAAGGAGTTTTTTTCTGGCTTAGAGTAACGCTCCTGACAAATTCTTTGTTTTTGAAGTCTTTGCCACCCACATATTGACACTCATACCGATGCCCTGCATTTGTATCATCCCTAGATGGCAACATTCGTTAAGTGTTAAAGCTTTGCAATATAAGAGTCCAGAGTTCGACTCAGGCAGATTTTTCTGTTTTCTTATTTCTTTTTTCAAACATGTAACTGATTGCATCACAACATGTGAATATTATGGAATGCATTTTGGTTTAAAAGGACTTAAAGCAAATATGTTTTAATAGTGACGAGGTAATAGTAGATAGTTAAGTTTGCTGCCATCCTTTAACATCAATACATGTATTTCGTACAATTTACATTTCTAGAGATTTAGATTGAATTCAGATCGTGATATAATAAAATCCCGTGTTCTGTTTGCCATTTAAACATCAGCATAAACGTTCCTTAGTTATTCTTTAAAACTGTCCAGTCCGAGGCTTTTCTTGTATCAATTACCATATCAATATTTTCCGGACATGAGAAGGCTTAGTCAAGGCTGTATGAGATGTGACTGCGACGCGTAACGCAATACAAGTGTGCAAAATACAGTCCCCCGGAAAAACAAGTATACGAACACTGTTGAACACATCGAACATTAAGTGTTATATAAGCATATTACATGTAGTCACATGTTATAACTGTAACCTTAAAAGGTAATTCCTGTTCCCTGTTCAGCGCGTGCAGCATGTCTACATCTTAGGGTGTTACGCATCAGAACAGAATGTCGTTATAACGACTACAAAGTATCTCGTTATACCGTTTTTGACACTACGACGAGAGAGTAGGTCTTCAATACGAGATTAATAACAGGGGAATTATAGTGACCTTTCGGGGTCAAGCTTTTGTTCGTTTAGTCATTTTATGACGTTTTGGGGTCAGTCAGGGTCATTGACGCCATTAACAATTGTCATCCGGGCTTCATATACAAATGAGAAATGTGCAGTCAGTTTACAATTTTACTAGAAGAGCAGCTGTTTTCACGGGTTTTAGGTAATAATGTCCTTATTATGTTGAAGTATTATTTTCTCTGTGACCTGTTTGGGCTTCTGTAAATACATCTTTCAAAGGTGAGAGAAAACAGAAGTCCCGTGCCCTGCTCCATTCATAATCTCGACGACAAATTACTGATCTCATTTTCTTGACAAATATAATATACACTAGTTACTTGTAAACATAGGAATGGGCTTTATGGATAATCCGATTTATCAAGACGATATTCTACTGTCACCAGGATGCTTTATAAACCTCACGCGACTTTTGTTGTCGGTTAACGGTCGTCTGATTGACCACTCAGAAATTACTACGCGATCGTGATGAACTAGTGCATACATTCACGCGCTCATACGTGCTATTGTTAGATCGATTACGTTGTCAAAGTCCGTGATCAAGGTCTATTACAGAACAGTAACACATACACTAACAGAATATAGTTCCAAGTTCACAACCCGAATGTCCAACTACGCTTTACACGACAGAGATCGCTGAACTAGACAATTGTTGACATTTGTGTACTTAAAGTCATTAGTATTTATAAGTGTTGAAACGTCACACGGTATTCTGTACTTTAGCCGAAATGTATGTAGGTACAAAGAGAGTACCAATATTAAGGGACACTCTATATTGTTTTCTTGTGGATGTATATTGATCTTTTTAGGCTGTTATGTCACGGCATTTGATATAATCGTGCTGAACGGCTTAATTCACTTTGAGAATGGCATTATTAAGTTGCAAATAATGATTTAGACTTGCATTGTTTAACCTTTAGTACATTTGGTAGCTGAATTTGTGATATACATTCCACACAATTAGGGAAATTAGAACAGTGCACTGGAAGATTCACTAATAAGGGGAGATAATCAAATTTTCCATTTGTAGTTATCGAGACATCTCTTGTTAAGCTCGTCACGGCTCGAACTACTTACATCAGTCAGTCGCTATAGCAACCTTTGGTTTGACTTATCAACAGTCATTATAATACTGTTTATTGGGACATACGTCGGTTTTATATTATACACTAGTGATAACTTATTTTAACATTGAGCAATTTTGCCGTAGACCTCGTCCTGAACAATGATATGATAATCAGTAATTGCGTTGTTTGGCAGCTCTGTGGTGACAGGTGTTCTGTAACACAGTCTGCTGAACAACACATAGTTTGGGGACGTAACAAATCAGGTCGAAAACATTACAGATTTGCCACAAATTACAGGCAAATTTTATCACGCCATTATTAACGCCCTTTCCCAAAACAAAGTTACAAGGTTCAATGTTTTTGCAAAATAAAAATGTCAGCATAATAAACTATTCTCCTGACAAAATATTTAAGCAAAACATCGGTGTTTTCCATAATATCATTAATTATTTTTTTGTACTATTATTTCAGCTATAATTTAAAACGACATACGTAAAACAAACTCAACAAAACACTTACTCCAAATAGAACACATATTTTACATAAAGGTACCGAGTGAAGGGGATTAGAATTAGGGCCGGGCTGGTGAACATGAAACCCCCGTGCATACGACTAGAGAAATGTGTAGGACACACGCGTGATACCGTAGATTTAGTCATGCTCCGGAACCTTTTTGAGTACGTTGGTTTGTCGACTGTCCCGGTGATCTTTCGTCATCATGTTTCCGGAACAACGTGTAGTTCCATCCCAACAATTACATGTACCGAGACAATGATGTTCCGTGATAGATCCTTTCTACCCCGAAACAAAAATATACGATAAATCTGTTATTTAACCATCGTCATATTTCAACGATGTAATCTTCTAAGTATTTTTCATCACGTCTTGGTCTAGCCTGTAACGTCATTATTAAACCACACGTGACGTCTTGATTGCCACTATAGGTATATTTTCGCGTATAATTTATAGGGTTGATTCGTGAATACTCAATTTGCAATTGAAACAAAACTTTTTTTCAATATTGATTATTACTATTATTGGAATAAATATTCGTGGAAGATTGAAATTCAAACCAGTCTCCTTGTTTTTAACGCGAAAAGTAATCTCATGCGGCGTTGCGAGCAGAAAGAGATTGCAGTATTTAAGGATTAACTTGAAGTTTATGTTATGGAGATACATGTATAACACAAAAAACTGAGCGTACTTGATTTGATTTAAACATATTTTATTGCAAATAAATATTTACAAAAGAATTGGACACAAGTTTTCACAACTTGACAGTCCTTTTCTTCAAATACATGAATATAAACAATAACTTGATAAGGTAATTTACGCAATATATATAAATTATGTTTTTATATGGAAATAGAAAATAAAGAGGAAGAAAAGACGGATAGAGAAACGAAGCAAAGGATAGTAAAATAGGTAGGGTAGGAGAAAAAAGAATGATAGAGAGAGAAAGAGTGATAGAGAAAGATGATCACATTCAGCCAAACCGGTTGCATTTGCTGATATAATTTTGGACAGATTTTGTAATTGAGGTATTTTCATCATTGCTGAATTTATGATCGCCATATAGGAGCAAATCTAAAGTTGAATCATCACGATACTGTTGTAGCTCTCTTATTAACAGATTTCGATGCAGGGTGAATAGGGGACAGACACATGGATTACCTTATGCGCTTTCAGCTGTATTAGATAAATTTGATCTAAACAAGTCATAGTTAAGAGAGCTCGCACAGTTTCTCAAACGGCAATGAAGTATATTTAATTTACGGAACCCCATACCAGAAAACATTTATTACGTATTGTACCTTTTGATTTCATATTTGTTTTAAATGAACTGAGAGAAGGCGAATTCCTTATAAATATATCTAGGTCATTCCACATTTTTGTAGTTGACGAGAAAAAAGAATTGCGCATAGTTTCAAGCATAAAGTTTGGTTGTCTTAAATGTTGGGAATTTCTTAGGTTATAACTGCAAATATCCCCAATGCTATCTGGTATGGTGTCACACAAACAATTTGGAGCTGTACCGTTTTTAATTGTAAAGAATAGGGATACTTTTCTGATTTTCCTTCTATTACTTAGTGGAACCCAGCGAAGCGGTTTATGATGAGAAATTAATCCGGTGTTTTGTGTTATAGCTCCATAAAATAAAAAAAAATATTCATGTTAGTCCTTATAATTTAATCTACTTTACACAATCCCTGTGGAAATCCACTTTTATTGATGGTCTGCTTTCTTTTAGAAATTGTTACGCCGCTGTATCAGCCAACGTTACAAACGGCGACGTCATTTTTTACGTTATAGGCTGATAACATAATTTTTTAAGCCAATGAAAATGCTTGTTACCAGCAAGATTTAATTATTTAGTTATATTTGACAGAAAATGACAAGGAATATTTCCATGGATTATGTATAAAAAGTCCAATCTCTTTACCGCGTCCTATTAAACATATGTCCTATAACTCAATGCGTCGTCCCCAAAAATAGAAATGTTGACGTCTGTCCGTATTGTGCGTGAGCGAGAGCATTCCATGATAGTCACTTTGTAATAGGATATTTAACCACTTGTTCTTGGCAATGCTTTGTGAACAAATGTCTTTTACCACCACAGAAAACGAACAAATGATATTGTTCATATACAAAAATGGCGCCCAACGTTGCTATTAACATAATGCAAATAACACGTGATCGAGACACAATGCTTGGCGCACATTGTATTCAGCGTGAAGCTTGATTTAAATGTAATTAATAAAATATTTATAAATATTTCATCCGTGAGGCAAAAATTAAAAGCATGTTCACTTATGCTTCTTACTCGAGAAAATATTCAATAATTAGTTCACACTTTTGTCGATAATTATGATTGATTCTCATCTCCCTTTTCCTACTACACGTAAAATCAATGATCCAATTAATAAACACTTATTGTAAGCAAGCTGTTGACCCTGATTGACGACTCGGCTAGGTCATGTTCACACGATGTCTACGCTATAAACTACACACGTCTGTTTGTGGCAGTATGTTCACTGTCGCCATTACCATCATATCGTCATGCCAACCGTTCACCCAGGGAACGTAACTCTGATAGATGAGGTGGCCATTTCAATTTCAAAACCTATTTGTTTACCCGGAGATATGAAATAAACATGTGTCACCATCCGATTATCAGGCTTCGGGGTAAAACGTGTCAATCACGATTATCATGATATTTGGTTAGAGGGTATTATTTAGACTTGAGTAAAGCTGTTGTTTTCAAACCTGTATCGAACTGAAAATATCTTTTAAAGTCTTCATATACCTGCTGCGCCGTTCAAGTTCACAGAAATCACGCAATATTATCAAAATAATTACAATGTATTTTGTACTTGCAAGTTGTTCATTTAGAGTTTCGTAAGTAGAGCGCAGTTTTTGTTATAATCATTTCATAATAATGATAAGCACTATCTATAGCCATGTATCTTTCATAGTATGGAGTCATGTTTTTCTGTACTAACTAACGTATCGAAATAAATTTCAGAAAAAAAAATGAAATAGAAAAATGCATATTTTTAATTATGTACATATATGTATCATGCATAGGGCAACCTGAGGTGAATTTCACGCGCGACGTTGATACATGTATACGTGTATCCTCGAAGGCGTGGTAATCAATGACGTCATCAAAAATGACTGACGCTTGTACGTGTTTTTGTCAGATTCCGGTATTTCGGCGTCAAGGTTTGAGCATGATCTCCGATCACCTTGTCAGATACTGCACTGAAGAAGCGTGTGATATTTCAAGCAAATCTGTATAAAGTTGAAAATTGATAGAAAAAAATGAACAAGCTAGTGACAGCCGTGTTCGCATGTCTTCCATCACTGTTCTGCATCGATTCGTCCAAATTGTCATTACTAGGTGTATAATATTATTATGCTTTATTTCTTCGGAGTTGACATATTCACTGAACATACAGACAGAGATTTGATATAAAGATTTTAGTGCCGTCAGCCGCTCAGTCAAATAGAGCCACAGTTGAGCAAGATAGATGATATAATTCTACTGAAATAGAATCATGACCCTAAAGAGTCGTTTTTACTGAAGCCTTTTGACATTTGTCATGTAATTTGTAACATTCTAGTTCTGAGCGCACCCGCAGGAATACTTTGAACGTTGCTTTTCAAGGTATGACGGAGAATTTTTTTTTTCAAGTACAAGAGGCTGAACCAACAGTTTCAGAAGGAATTGAATGCAGTCTGCGAGTACCAATCTGTTATTGGACACCATGCAGCTATAAGTTTCTAGTCAATAACCATTTATCTTTACACATTAGTCATGATCATTTAACTCAAGTCAATAGACACCTGGCCTAGTCAATAAACACTAGACAGTAGACACTAGTCAGTAAACACAAGTCAGTAGATACTAGCCAGTAGACAAGAGTCAGTAGACACTAGCCAGTAGATACTAGTCAGTAAACACAAGTCAGTAGACACTAGCCAGTAGAAACTAGTCAATAGACACTAGCCAGTAGAAACTAGTCAATAGACACTAGGCAGTAGAAACTTGTCAATAGACACTAGTCAATAGACACTAGGCAGTAGAAACTAGTCAGTAGACACTAGTCAATAGACACTAGTCAGTAGACACTTGCCAATAGACACTTGCCAATAGAAACTTGTCAATAGACACAAGTCAGTAGACATAGACTCTAGTAAATAGATACTAGTAATTAAAATAGAGTAAAGAAACACTAGTCAAAAGAAACTTGTCAATATGCACCGGCCATTAGACTGTATCCAGTAGCAACTTGTTAGCCACTTGTCAATTTACTCTACATATTAGACATTAGTCAGTTAACACCTTTCATTTGACACTAGTCGTTAGATAGTAGCGAGTAGACACTAGTCAGTATATACATGAGTCAATGGGCACTACTCACGCGGCCAGTAGACTAGTCAATAGGCACTTGTCTTAAACTAGTTTCACCCCTTGCAACACCTTACGACTGCACACGGATGCCGACTTTATAGTGCTATCTCACTGAAATACCATGCCGAAGGAACCCAGCACAGCATTCCGCTCGGTCATAATATATTGACAACGGGTGAACCAGTTGATGCCATTTCCCTACGTGCTGAACGTTAAGCAGGGAACATCAACTACCGTTTTTAAGAATTTTGGTATGAACCGGCCTGGGGACAACCAATAGAAGTAACATGTTTGATTTGCTAAGCAGTTTTTTTTCTTCAATGATGTTAAAATGAAAACTAATTAAACGTTTAGTTTTGAACATTCTTATGCAGTAATATGCGGTCTTTAGGAAGTATTTTTTTAAATAAATATTACTTATATTTCAGTCAGTGAAACAATTAACATATGAGTAAGTAATATGTTCTCGAGGAGAAATGATACCAGAAAATGTGTCCTGTACCAGTAATTAAGTTTGGTGTAAACAAGGTGCGTGCTGTATATTTACCAGTGATATATAGTATACATCACAGACGACTGTCGATAATTTACGACAGAACAAAGAGCGTGTTAATTACAAACTTATATTGCAATGGTTATTTAACTGTGCAAGTAGAAAAAAATGTTAAAACTGTAATAGAAGCTACCGTAGAATCAAGAACATAAACAATCATTATCGAATTTAAAGTTTGTCAAACGTTTTCTATTTGTTTTTCTTCTGAAAAAAATCAAATAGACCCACAACATACACGGTTAATAATATTTGGTGTAGACAAAAAACAACACTTGTGATGGATTAAATAACATAGACCATGCTACGTATAGATGAAAAAAACTTACTTGCTGCAGTGAGAGGAAAGCGTCCTACGTCTTGTGACAATTTGCCGGGAGTGAGACAGGCATCTCTCATATATTCAGCCACTGTACATGTAGCCGTGACGTCACTAACCACCATCCCTCCCTAGGTTGGATATTAAAGGCTCGATAGCTGCTACCGACAATTGCTAATTATAGTAATACATGTATATATGTTATAATATGATGGGTAAACAAGGCCGGGGGAGCACTGATGTATAAAGCTTCATCTCCCTAAATAAAACACAAGGTTGAATCAATGATATTTCATAATAACTTTTTTTTAAATCTAAAAACAAACACACAAACAAACATACGTGTCCCCGGACTCAAAAGTATCTCCTTCATATAATCAATACAAAAAAAGTTCATATTTCTGCAGACAATTTTCTGAAATTAAGCTAACGAGAGCTGACAAAACTGGATGCATGGTGAAACGTATTCAGAACACGTCCTCACATACCACATCAAGGAGACAAGCGTTCAATCATTTGAAAACAACAACCAAAACGACATAAAAAGACTACAAACTAAAACTACGTGAATATCAAACTAGGTTGTATAAGATATCTATGAAACCTGTTATATGATTAAATGTTTTGGGTATAAGCTATTGGGTTTAAGTTTGATATTTGTTTTATCGTGAAGTTAACCGAAGCATATTCATGCGCACATTTGTGGTTATTTATTCGGGGAATATCAATTAAATACCGTTTTGCCAATGCTGTGAATATGTGACGTCATCCTATCATCTTTTTGTGACGTCATAATGTGAGATATTATATAATTATGGACTTTTGTGCTTCGCCGAGGTTAATATCACTTTTTCAGGTTCATATCACATCATATTTACCAGCACAACAGCCCATTACTGTTTTATTATATGCTTCAACAATAAAATTAAAAAAAAAAAATCTTAAGGTTTTTTTTGCGCGAACCTCATTGTATAATGTAGCCAAAATTGAATCCAACAGTTCAGCATCGTAGCTTTCGAAGACATCGTCGATGTTCTTTTTCTTAAGATAAACATAGAGGACATGCACTGCCGTAGCGTTGTTATGAAATAATAATTGATGGTAAAATTATGAAAACATTTCAGAATATTATTTAAGCATTGAACTGTTACCAGATGCAGTATACAGTCGATATGAATGCAATTTGGGTGACAGATAAATAGAATGCTAACGAACCCAGAATGTTTTCCGACTATAGGCCTATTGGTACCGAAAGTATCGGGCGGCCATGTTTGTTTACCTTGTACCAGCTGTATTCCTACACTGGCCGTATCACTGTAAATTATAGTATACAGTCTCATATACTGCAATTTGGTTTACTAACGACATATAGGCAAATGCAACACAGAATGTAAATATACAATTTTGTTTACACAAAATATTAGTGTTCGGATGACCAAAATGGACAATGTTGAGAAGCTACAGTCCCAAGATATTGCTGAAAAATAAGGTCAAAGTTTTTTCGTCTGGTTATTTCAAACTTGCAACAATGTTTGATGGAATGTTAGATTGTTACAGAAAGGACTATCAACAAGATTTTTCAATTGGATTCCCCAGTTTCAATTGGAAAAATTAACTTCGTAACTGTGACATCGATCCGTTTTTAAACTTCTTTTTAAACTACTGACACGCTGAAATAGACATACACGCGCGTACTAGGAATATATGTATACCTTGGAGTTCAATCTGTTGACTACCTATCATCCGCTAGTTTTTAGCTTAATTTGAGAACAATTCTGTTACAACTGAAAACTAGACTAATCATTTTTACCGGTAATGGCGCAATGCACAGTCGAGGAAGAGTGTCTATATGAGACACAGCATTAGACGATTTGAAAGGAAAGATGGGAACATTGGAAATCAGGACAAATCTTAAGTGCGAAGAATTCGCTCAAGCTGGAATATTTCTATATATATGTGCATGCTTCAGCTAGTGTTAACTTATTTCAGTAAAAAACATTCGAAGCTTGCATTCCTCCGGCAGTGCCTAAAATAGCTTGTTTCCATGTTTATGAATTTTCAATCACATTATTTGTATTTCTTTGTGACGATCGAAGTACTACGTTCTTAAAGTGTTGAAGACAATTACGAAATTAGAACTAGTCCTGGCCCGGTGTACTAACTCCCCTTACTTCAAAGATAAGGAAACTTCTTGACTTGAAATTCTCGAGAGAAAAAAAACACCATATTGTAACTAAGAAAATATTTTCTCACTTTAGTAATTTTTTTCTGAATACGAATACTAATGCCTTCATATGGAGAAACTTACACCAAATATTATTTCAGGATATTCCTTTAGTTAATTCGTTTTTTATGAAACTGGGGCTAGTTTTCGCTTAGACTTGATTGTTCTTGTACATACATTTAACTTCTCAAAAGAGACCGAATGATGTATTGGACAACGGCGGAACACCACATTTTCTTTATTCATATTGCTTGCATCTTGACGGTATCTACACAACAACCAAGCGTTCACGCTTCACACAAATCTTGCTAACCAACGATATAGAATGCCTACAACGTCAAACAATTCTTCCATTTTTAGGACAACTAAGGTCGCCGACAACGTGTTTAAATTACTAAATCATCTCGTGACCAAGTCCGTGTTTGAAGTAATGCTATTATTAGGTACGAGGTTTTGATTGCCGGTCCTAATTGCGTTAGCTATTAATGAACACGTGATTTTGTATTCATTATTGATAGCTCGGAGAAAATAACATAATAAAAATAAGTTTAGCTATTTGACAAAAGTTATATTTATCCCTTCATCTAGGATTTAAACATTTAACGTTAGTGCCGTTCTATTGCGTGTGACGGGTTGTTTGTTCCGACAACAGATTTAAATTTCTGCCATATTGTTTATTGGTTATTTTTATCCGTCCATATATGACCTAACCTTATTATAATTGCAATAATGTTACTGATCGTATTATGATTGTGTCCTATATACCATATAGACGTCTAAATAGATATCAATGGGTATTTCTATGATCTTCACAAGTCAAAGTAGGAACGTTTTCAGATCACGAGGGTTATTATACAACTCAGTAGGTAGAAATATAGTAATTAATTTTATCATTGTAAAAATATCTGCTGACATTTCATACGTCATCAACTGTATTTGACGATAAGGACTTACTAGCAAATGTTATAGAAAATATCTGCATTAATTTCGACAGATGAAGTGTGAAGTACTTTTGACGATGATTGGTGCCACTGAGAAGTGTAATCGTGATTCAGTACCGCCAGAATGCATGTTTTAGTGCGCGCAAGCCGAACTATCTTTATATATAAGTGCATGTTTTTACGGGGCGTCAACATGTTTTTCTTTAACATGCAATAGAGACTGACGTACCTCCGGCAGTGCCAAAAACTCGCGTTTTGGTCTTACATTTGTAGCACGACATGGCTTCAGAGTCCTAATCACATGAAGGTAAATATCACCGATAGGTTTCAATGGGAAAGCTGGGCCCATTTCCGGAAATCCTTATACCGTTTTGTGAATTACAATTATCTCTGCATTACAATACCCACCGAGGAAATAATAAAGAAGTTCAAGAGATATTCTACAGATTCAATTTCAATGAAGATTATATATCTATATCTTTATATACAAATTGACTATCTGAAGATTCGCGTGATTTGAGTGCAAACGTATACCTTAACACTGAGAGCACGTGATGATTGTGAAGCACACAATGGCAGTAAGCAATACATGAGTAAGAATAAGTCGTTCATTAAATTTGCCATCTCAAGCCCCCGACAAAAGAGCGGAAAGAGCGAGCGAAAACAGTCCCCGCGGGATACCTAATCAAATAACTGAGATTATAACGTTACGACAAATGTCAAATTCTTCTTTTTAAAAAATAATTTTAATTACTTTTACCATGGTGTGATACCTCTTTTACAAAAACAAAAAGAATCAAAATGTATTCCCCATTGAAGCACGAGGTAATCCCAAAACAACCGTAATTCAGAAATCGATTTTACTATTCCTCGCACAAGTTGACAACTCTGTATACGACTAATGAACCAGTCGATCGGTAGTGTGCAAATATGACAATTCAATTTCCTCAATCAAATTTAAAATTAGAATTGTAAAAGGAAAATACAAGTGTATGGTTTTGGATGAAATGAAAATAAATAGAACGTGGCACTTCAAATAGGTTGCACTTCGTCAATTTCCTATAAGAAACACATGTGCCTGTCTCTGCAGTGGTATGCTTTTTAGATTATCACTTCTCAGATAACGGATGGGACTAGATTTGTCGAAATAGGCAGACAGCCGACTTGATGGAACGTTAGTCCCCTTGGGATATGGCAAATGTTTCCCACACTAGAAAATCACAGTACCATACTCACAAGGACGAAATCAGAATTGAAAGTCTATCCCAATACAGTGTTTTCTCCGCTATTGGTTGAACAAAGAAATGTGTTGATATAAGAAGACAAAAGCCAACCAATAAGATTTACCAGGGCGGTTTTCATTTAAACTGTTGAACCGGTCGGATCACAGTTGTTCGTTTATTCAAGATTCAAGATTCAAGAAGCTTTATTTAACGTCGCATATACATGTAACATAATAACATTAGCACTGTAGTGCTATTCTTGCGACAAAACCTATATAAAATTTAACAAGAACACAGTACTTATGAATAAATATAAAAACAGGACAACAATTCAAATTAGATATGCTGAAATTATACAGTAGAGCATATGATATCACACTTGAATGTCACACACGTGTTACAAAAGACAAGTTAAGACACTATACTTGTGTAATGTACATATATGCTAATGTAGCAAAGTGTAAAAATTTACAGGATATACACTAATATAGTGTGAATTAAAAAAAGACAATGAAGTCATAAATAGAAACAAAGCTGTAATTATGATATTGTAAAAAAGTAATGATCTTTTAAATAATGGAGCTCAAATCTAAAATAAATATCAATTATATAATAAGTATATTACTGAAGTATATTAAATTAAATAACACAAGCAGCATGAAATAAGGTCGGACCCAGTAATCTCATGTTGCTTTCAGGCAAGCCTGACAAAGCCTTTCAAGACCTGCATAAACATCTGCAGGTC